AACAGTTACGTTTACACTACACTGCAGTCTAGTAAGTGTGCAGTAGTCTGGTGTCTAAAACAACGTACAGACCTTAATTAAAAATACTTTATTGGTAGAAAATGCTCACAGTCATCTGAGTCTTCGGTGAATCACAGTATTTTTGTAATAGTAATGTCAAAGATCACTGACCGCAGATCACCATAACAAACAGAATAATAATGAAAAGGTTTGAAATATTGCAAGAATTACCAAAATGTGGCAGAGACCCCAAGCGATCAAATGCTGTTGGAAAAATGGTGCCTGTGGACCTGCTCCACGCAGGGTTGCCACAAATCTTCCATTTGTAAAAAATGCAATATCTGTGCAGAAAAGTGAGGTCTGCGTGTATAAATGCCCAGGAAACTGAGTGATGTGCAGTTTTCAGTCTTGACTTCTTTTTGCCAATCTTGAATGGCTGCAGAGGTGATTCATTTTAAAACTTAAGTAAAATGTTTAGTGAGTATTTACTTTTTTTGTGGGGGACTGAGTGAGATGAAAAGCATCGATGGTTCCTGGAAAAAATTATGGAATTTGGAGGCAGGGTGGTGTTCAAATCCAAGCCTTGTGACTCCGCAGTTCCAGGACCTTGTGTAAGGTGTGTGTTCCTTTTCAAGGCTCAGATGCTTCGTCGGGGGACTGGGGTTCTGTGACCTCCCCGTGGAGCTCTTCTTCTGATTAGGTAAGATTTAGTGAGCCTCGCACATGTTAGGTGCCCAATTAGATTGAACATAAGCCTAGCACATGTTAGGAGCTCAGAGAATGTCGGCCCCCGTCTCTTCCCCTGCAGAGTTTATGATCTGGTAGGAATGAGAGACTCCTCCTAGTGTGTGGACACATTCCTCAGCTGGCCCTTTTGCCTTCAGCTTCTCAGCCCGTGACACAGCTGTGCCCAGGCCCTCAGCCATCTGTGTCCACACCTGCCACCGAACGCACATTCTTCAGCCACTCTTTTTTCCATGATGTTCAGCACTGCCTCCGTCTTTCCATGTGTACCCGGGGAGAGATCCGCGTCGATGGGGGGGTAAGTTGGAAGTTAAGGGTTTTGCTGAGAGCGAGAGCTGTCTGGGGGACGTGCCTGGCACCAAAGCTCAGCAGTTGGGGAGCGTCACCCGCCGCCCCGAGTACACTCGGGAGGACTTCCGGGACTGGCCGGCAGGAGCACTGGGCCGTATCTCTGTTTAAATCCTAGCTTTGAAGCTGACTTACCGCGGGTGCTCAGGCAAGCCTTTCTTCCTTTGAGGGCTTCAGTTCCGTAATCTCTGGACTGGGGTGTTCCTTTCAGGGGCAGGTTTGGAACCTCTCCTGGGTCAGTCTTTGGCTTTCTCTCTGGTCTTTCAGGACTCCGTTGCCTGATGAGAGGTGGCAGTTCGCTAGGGCCTCTGGCTCCTTGGCCTCCAAGGTCACCCTTGACAACATGGTCCCCATGCAAGCAGTTGCTTCAGAGATTAAAGGCCTCCCTGCTGAGATCTTCTTACAAATCCTCTGATCCCCTCCTTTCCACCCTTCCTGCCAAGCAGGGTTCAAATGGACGTGTGTGGGCAAGTGGACATGCACGCCCTCCCCTCACCCACCAGCTCGTCCCCAGACCGCTCACCGCCACCTCTGCGTCGGAGATGGGCAGCGGGAATGAGGGTGCTGAGGGTTCCTCGTGAACCCAGGACAGAGTCTTAAGATATATTCTCGTCTCTCTCTTTCTCTCTCTTTTTTTTTAACAGAGGTACTGGGGATTGAACCCAGGGCCCTGTGCATGCTAGGCACGCACTCTACCGCCGAGCTGTGTCCTTCCCCTGTTCTCTGTGTTTAATACTCCAGAATTTGTTTTACCTAATCTCTTATCTGAAGTGGTTGGTTGCCCCAGACTGAGAGGGGAGTGCACCAGAGCTCACATCTTCATGCTCTGGCCGCTGGAGATTGCCCTGATTTATGGAGAGCTTAGCTATGTAAGTAAGAAGTTTGTCCCATTTTATGCAGCATTTCTTAGCATTTTGCTGTATTTCTCAAAAGGAAGTCCTTTGGCCTGAATCTTTAAGACCTCTTCCAGCTCTGTTGGGGTTTTCGTTGCTGTTGGAGTTTGAGCGAGTCTGATAAAGGTGGCTGTTTCCACCTGGGGAGTCTGGCACAGACTGAGTCAAAGTGTGGGCAGCGCTGATCCTGAGGGCAGAGGCTCCCACGGGATGGAGGAGACGAGTCTGGAAAGGTGGTTGTGACCTGGTGGCACAGTCCTGAGCGCCAGGTCACTGGGTTTCGACTCGAGAGTGACGTAGATTTCTGAAAGCAGGGACTGGATATGGTGGTGGCGGTGTTTCTTATTCTCACCCACTGCTTCTTGCTTTAGTTCTTCAGACAGTTATGGAACACATTTCATGTCCTAGGAGCAGTGAGTATTGGGAGATGAAGCTCCCAGAAGTTTGCAGGACATCTTGGTGACCGAGGCCACTCAGGTGGCCACTGTGGTGACGTGGGGTATGGGCGATGACCTGTGGCTGAGGACGGTGATGGGAAGGCTGCGACTTGTCAAAGAAACACGTGACAGTTTGGCAGTACTGTTGACGCAGAAGGTGGTAGGAGATATGAGAGTTCTGGGTTGCACACATGGTTCTCTGGCTACACTCTGCTGTGATCTTTTTTTTCTTTTTCTTTTTGGGTGGGGGAGGTAATCAGGTTTGTTATTTATTTTAATGGAGGTACTGGGGGTTGAACCCAGGACTTCGTGCGCGCTCAGCATGCACTCAGCCACTGACCTACACCCTCCTCCTGTGATCATTTTAACTTAAGGCTGCCGTGCACACACAGCATCTCAAACAGTGGTCTCAGGAGAAGTAAGTGCCTCCATTTCTTCTTACACTCTGCTCTCTGGGGCCTGGACGCTGTGCTAGTCTTGCAGAAGAACACGCACAAAGGGACGGGGAACAGACGCTCGTTTACCAAATGTGCCAGGCAGCGCTGTAGATGTTAGGGACGTGGGAGGGAACCAGGCATTTAAAGGCTGTGCTGTCCTGGAGCTGATGTTTCTAGAGGAAAAGACAGATAATAAACACACAGACAAAGAGAGAAGAGTTTCAGGTGGCGACGAGTTCTTGGAAGAGAATGAAACAGGTGAGGACAGAGTTTCTGGATGGAGGTGGGAGAAGAGAAGCCCGGAGAGTGGGAGGCTCCCGGGGGCAAGTGTCACAAGCACCCCAGGAATCCGGAAGACGGGAGCCGGCAGAGGGGGAAAGCGCAGACCTGGTCAGTGCTCACCTTCATCGTCCTGCCACCTGCCCTTGTCCTGGGACAGCGTCCTCTGTCCCTGCTCCCCGCTCCCCGGTGGGCATGGAGGCAGCCTCCGACTCTGGGTTCCTGCTGGGGGAATGTGGGCGAGGGGCGCTGGCGGGGGCTCTTTCTGGGCCTGGGGTTTCTCCTCTTCGCCAACTTGGATTCCAAACCAGGGTCAGGAGGGGAGGATGTCCTATCAACAGCCCCCCACCCCCACCCCTGCTGGAATGAACCTCTGCTCCCTTCCCCCGCTCCACCTTTTGTCCTCGGCTAGCATGCTTATCGGGGCTGTCTTGCCTCAGAGTTATTTCTGTCTGTCTGTCGTCCCCCATGAGACTGAATTTCTCGGGCACCAGACCTGGGCGCCTTCCCTTGGTCTCCCTGGCAGATGCGCTTAACCCTTTGTGGCTTGTACACACTTGTAAAAGCCGATGAAGAAACTGAGGACCCTCTCCCCAGAAATTTGGCTGCCCCCTCATAGTTTGTGTGCTATTTGGCGGGGTACACAGGCCCCTGACACCTCTCTGGGGATCCCTGGTCGGGAACTCTGGCTGAGTGCTTTGCCCGATATCTGGACGTGGTAGGTTGTCAGCGTTTGGCTGACTTGGGGACAGTTAACCGGGTTCCGCCTGATTAAATCCTTTTCTTTAGATGCAGGGACAGAAGTCAGTGGGGAGAAAGAGAGCCAAGAAGCAGTCCCATTGCTGGGAGATGCAGAGAGCGTGTGTAAGGTCTGGGGGTCCGCATCCCGAGAGTGTGGCCTCTGGCCCTGAAGCACCAGAGTTGGGGTCCCCTCTCCCTCGGGCGGGCCCTCTCTCGGACTCCGCAGGGCTGCTTCGCAGGTCTTCCTTCTGCCTGCCGCGCCCACCGCTGCCCGCCCTTTCAGTCCATCTTCCCCCGAAGCCTCCCTCTGTTTCTTCACCCTTTTTGGAGCTGCTGTCGAGCTTCAGTTGTCTGAAACTCCCAGCTGACGTTTCCTTCTGTTCCCACTCCGTCTGGGTTGGCTTTGGGCCCTCCAGTGAGGTTGCTGGAGAAGCTGGGGATGGCTCCGAAGAGCCTGCTCACGGCACTGGCTTCCCCCTCCGCACGAGCACCGGCGCTCGGAGGAGCAGGTGGTTAACTGAGAATTCAGCCGACACGGCCTTGGTCGTGCCCACGCTTCCCCCGTGTGGACACCACCACCGTTTCTGCCTCGACCTCTGAGGTGGCCGTGGTGTCCTGCCCACCATCTGCCAGTGTCTGTGCGCCTCCTTTTCTCCCTTCCTTCCTGGCGTCTGACTGAGAGCAGGTCTCTGAAGTCAGACTGCCTGAGTTTGGGTCCCGGCTCCTATACTTAGTAAACTGTGCCTCTGTGAGCAGATTACTGAACCTCGGTGCGCCCCAGGTCCTCATCTGTAAAATGGGAATGTTAGCAGTAGTGTCACTCCCCTCGTCGGGTTTGGTTGTGACAGTTAAGTGAAATAACACATGGACAGCAGCAAGAACCGCTCCTGACACATAATGTTGAATAAACATTAGCTGTGATTATTTATTACCACTTTGTCAGCTTTGAAAGCTCCTTTGACTCTCTTTTGATTAATTTTGGGATGTTTTCTTTTACATATCACAAAGAACCTCAGGACAGGGATTTTTAAATTCTGAGATGGAAAATGCCTGCACCTCTGTTTCCGGGTCGGTGACAGGCATCTCCAGTAGAAGAGGAAATTCTTTCTCCGAGCCCCAGCACAGTCTCCCAGTCTTTCTCAACGCAGCTCGCCAGGCTGTCACTACAGATTGATTGGAGTTGCCTCTTAAAGCGTAGTGTTTGCCCAGCCTTCTGATTTTACCAGTAAAGAATTTGAGGCTGAGAGTGTTTTAAGCAAGCCGCCCGGGAGCGGGGCTGGGGCCGGAACTCCTGGTCCCTGGGCGTGCTCTCACTGTGCCTTTGTGTTTGCTGAGAAGCTTCCTTTTAATGTGTGAGTTTTGTGAAGTGTTTTCTCCTGGTGTGCGCCAAGTGTGTAGAGGACTGGTGCTCAGATCTGTTTATCTTTTCTTGCCAGTGAACTAGGTGAAGTTGTTGCCGCTTAGCTGGGAGTGGACCATGTGCCCAGCTCAGCTGCTGCTGGAGGTGATCTGTGGGTTTTCCAAAATCCTCCGGCGATACGCTGCGCTGGTGCTGGTATCTGAGGGTCACCTGTAAGGAAGCCCTTGTGGATGTTGAATCCTTATATTGCAAAGGGCAGTCAAGACGTGACATTCCTCATCCGGCAGGTCCCTTCGCACCCCCCACCCTGCACCCTCCGCCCTCAGAACAGAGCCCATTCTGCTAAAGCAAGTGGAATTATGATTTCCTCTCACCTCCTTGAGTTGAGGAGGGCTGGGAATGGGAATAGATGAAGCTGATTTTAAATCAGAAGAATCCTGGATCACGTGAATCATGAAACCCTTTGGCAGAAAAATACAAACAAAATTTGAAAACATGTCATCTTCTCCTTTATCCTCATCTCTGAGGAAAGGTACAAGCTGTCGAGGGCGGGCATTTTCATAACCCCAGCCCTTGGGTTATGGAAGACCATCACTGGCAATTCTTTGTGAGGGGGTGAGAGACGAAATGGATGACAAACTGAAGAAAAGTTGCAGGTAGGTAGCAACAAGTGGGTTCGGAACATGTTTGGGGAAGAGCTCAGAGAGGAGGTGAAAAAATAATAATATTCAAGCTTGATTTAGCGGGGCAAATAAGAATTCAACTTTGCTCCAATGCATGAAAATTGGAGAAATATTTGCATAGGAACATTCTACAATGTTGAAGCTTTACTTGTATTCCTTAGGAAAAGCCACCCGACTGTTATGGGGGGAGCGTTTACAGAAGCAAGAGCTATTCAGTTGGAAGCTGATGTTTACCACTTTGAGGAAAAGAAATGGGCATAAATGGCCTAAGGTGCTCGTTGATACAAAAAGTGGGGGAGTCAATTTCTGGGAAATGAAAATGCACTGTAATATTTTTAGGAAAACAATTATGAAATATTTTTAGCACCCGTAGAGTAGTTTTCTGTTAGTTAAGCAAGATAAACATATATTATATATAACTTGGTTTGCTCGAAATGATTATGCTTGGTATATTTAGATGTTAGAAGGCCTGAGAGGCAGGGAAAAACCCCAAAGCTGTTTCTTCTAAAACCAAGGAGGGAAGAAAATCCTCCAGGGGTGGTTTTTCTATACTCTGCTCCTTCAGATCTCTGAGAAGGTTTGGAAAGCTCCAGGATGGTGAACCCTTTCCCCAGCTGGCAGGGCCTCCAGGAGCCAGTCATGTGAGGGAGGGAGTGGATGGTCAGACGGAAAAATGGTCCCTGTTCCACAGGGGACCCCCCCACCCCGCCGGAGCTCGGAGCAGCCTGGGCGGCAGGTGCACTTTAGGGTCAGAGGCGCTCCTTCTCCCGGAGGAGGGTCTGTCCTTTCCTCCTGCTTGGGAAGGTGTCCTCTGCTGTGGCCGGCAGGGGCGGGGCCGGGGGGGCTGGATCCTGGAGTACACGGGGAAGACAGCCTGTATGGCCTGCTGCTCCTGTATTAGAGGAGAGAGGAAGGCAAGAGGTGCCTGGCACAGACAAACCCATGCAGCCCACCGATGAGGTGGGAGGCCCGCTGAAGAGTTCTGATGCTCAGGACAGGTGAGAGATGTGGGTGGTCCAGGAGCCCAGAGGCCGCGGTGTGTGGTCCAGACTGTCACCGGGCAATGCAACCCCTGCTCAGGGCCTTTGGTTTCATGGCTGTGCTTTGATGGTGCCACTGTCCTGTCCTGCCCAGAGCCCTCCCCTCGACCAGCTGATGCTGCCTGGACTGCCAGAGCTGGGGTGGGGGAGCGAGACGTGGAGCCTAGTCACCCCAGAAGGGGATACATCTGGGGGCAGGGGGCTTTGGGCCGCCTAGAACCAGCCAGCGAGGGAGACAGAATGAACAGTGAGGGAGATACAGGGAGGGGTCTGCCTGCTATGGGGTCTTGACAAGCAGAAGGGGAGCAGCGTGTCAGGTGCAGATGAGAGGTTCCGAAGGTGAGACCTGGCACGTCCGGCAGAGGAGCAGGAGGTCACTGGTGGCTTGCATGATCTGTTGTGCGATGGACTGAGACCTGTCTTAGCGGAAGGAGAGGGGAGGCCGTGTCACAGAACCAGGCCTAGAGGAGAACTCGGGTGGCCTTTCCTTTTAAGCACTTCCTCAGGGGTGAGAACCCTGGGCTGGAGTTGGGGACCTGAGTTCTGGTCTTGGTTCTGGTAAGAACTGGCTCTGAGACTGAGCAAGTCAGTCCTGCGCTCTGGACCTGACTTTCCTCCTCTGCAAGTGGAGACATCTCGGCTCCTTGGGGCGTGGGCTTCCCTCTGGCTCTGACATTATTCCCAAAGAGAGCGGTATTTGCACCAGCGCTGGGGTTCTGTCTCTCATTGTCCGCTTCCCCCTCACCTGGGACTGGGAGGATGGGTTCCACAGGCAGGGGCAGGGAGGGAGGGTGAGGTCGGATGAGCCCTGGGCCGTGGTCCTTGGGGAGATGGGCTCGGAGGGGCTGAGCGGCCTTGGGGTCCCTTCTGCAGGCCTGGTGACCATGCTCCTCTTTCTGGAGCCCTCCGACTCGCCACTGTACTTCTGACAAGTCCCCACCTTGGAGCCTCACGCCCAGCCCCTCCCTGCCTGTGGGCAGCCCTCACATAAATACCTCAGTGTGCTCAGCCCAGGGGAGGAGAGACTTCTGCCCGGCGTTGGCCACGGGGTTGGCCGCCTATTTTGGCAGCTCTGGCCACTGGCTTCCTGACCAGACCATCAGAAGCGGAGGGATCTGGAGGTGGGGGTCAGTGAGTCACGGGCTTGGGCTCTGCCTCCAGAGCTGCCCCTCCAGGGGGAGGCTGCCCCTCCGAAAGCATTCCCTCCCAGGGCCCCTGACTTGGGGAGCATCCCCGTGGCTTCTGTGCGATGGGAGTGATGTTCCTGACCCCACGAGGCTGTGGTGGCGGACTGAGAACCTGGCACGTCTGAAGTTCTCAGGAGAAGTTTGTGTTCCTTTCCGCGCTGTGCCTGGAGCGCAGGACAGGGTGTCCCCATGGGACACAGACGCAAAGCAGGACGCAGGCTCCACACACACGAGCTCCTGCTTCTGTCCCCGTTCCCAGCCCCAGGCTGACCCGCATGGGTGCTGCCTCCTCTACCCCGTTGCCCTGAGGCACACAGGCGCCCAGTCATTACCTCACCGCAGGGCTGTCTGCCAGAGTGCGCGGTGGAACTGCCTGGGTGGAGAGCTGGAGGCTAATTTTAGACCTGGAGACTCCCTGCCAACAGCTGTGGCTGGCCCGGCAGCTGGGCTGGGCCGCCTGCGGGGAGCCCCGGCCCCGGCCCTGCAGGTCTGCTCTCAGGACACATTCCTGCCTCTGTCCCAGCTGCAGGGAGGACCTGGGACAGGGGTCCCTCTGCACAGGGGTGGGGCCTCGAAGCCGCCACTTCCTCCAAGCCTTCCTTTCTCCTCCTGCTTCAGGATGTTTCAGTCTTGCATCTCTCTAGGTGGCCCTATATGTCAGAAACTACTGATATGGCACCTGGATAGTGGGCCAGTGGGCCTTTGAACGGAGCGGCAGGGAGGAGAGAGAATCCCCACACTGTCCTGGGTCCAAGTCCAGCTCCCACTCGCCACCAAGCTTATAGTCGAATATAGTGCTTCTCCAACCTTTTTCCTGTTGGCGCACATAGAAAATAACAAGAGAAGATATTTGCATCACTTATGGGGGTAAAGAGTTAAGTGTATTTGTGGTTGGATGCAGCCAGCCCTAGGTTTCTGCTGCCCCAGGAACTCAAGGGGTCGGTACTTGGCACCTGTGTTACCGTGTGAAGCCCACTCGTGGGCCAGGGCATGCTGGTTGGCAGCTGCGATCTGGCTCCCCAGCCGAGTCCCCCAGGGAAACCTCCTGGGTTAACCGTAGATGTGCTGGAAGGGGACCCATCGAGTGTGTCCCTCCTTTTACAATTGAGGAAACTGAGGACCAGAGAAACTGGCCCAAGAGTTAACAGTTCTAGTCCTGCTGGGACAGTCACTCCTTCATTTATCCAACCGTTGCTACCTGTAAAGTTCACTATTCCAAAGATACAGAGATGAAAAAGTAGTTGCCAGGGCTCATCTGTTTTTGATAAAAAGAAAATCAAGGAAACAAAGTTCAGGAAGCAGTTATTTGGGGAGAGGAATGGAGGGTGACTGGACGGAGGCACAAAGGGCTTCAGAGGAGCTGGTTGTGCCTGCTCCTTGGGCTGACGGATGGGGCACAGGTGTTAGTCTTTAAACCATTTGCATATATTCCTGTGTATGTATGATCTGGTTCTTTTAAAAAGTAACTGAAAAATACAGGGAGTTTACAAACTAGAGGAAAATGGCCTGGGCTGGTAGGTAAGGAGGCGAGAGACAAGTAGATGGGTTATCCGTGACAGGTGAGACGTGCTAAGGCCGCCGCCGTAATCACAGCCCCCTGTGTATCCTTCGCAGCGTGCTCCTTTCGTCTTCACAATGCCTCTGTCGGGGGTAGAAGCCTTTATATAGTTTCCACTTTGCAGGTGAGAAAGCCGAAGTTCAAGAGGTTGCTTGCCTCGTTCGGGGTTTCGCGGTGAAGCACCTCTGCAGTCAGTCTGAGTGTGGACATCCTTGTCATTCCATGAGCTGATTGCACAGGCAGCTGGCCCGTGGGGTGGGGGGTGGGGGTGGAGGGCAGGAAAGGCACTTCATCTCGCTAAACTTCTGCGAACTTCTGCTTCCCAGTCTGGAGAGTGGAACTCTTTTTACTTGCTGCTCCTTTTCATGCAGCGGATTTGAGTGTGAAAGCACCATGTCAGTGTGAAAGCTGACACTTGTTGAGAGCTAACACTGCGTCGGTTGGCGCCTCCCCTGATCTTCCCCCCACCCCACCGAGAGCGCGCAACCCCCTGTTTCACCGGCAGTCTCTCCTTGCTCTCAGCTTTCCTCGTTAACCAGCCTCTCGTCTCCCCGCCTGCTCCAGGAGGCTGGCTTCAACTTTGTCCTGGCATCCACTCCAGAGCCGAGATGCTACAGATAGGAGGCCCCAATCCTTGGCCCACCCCGAGCGCGAGCCATGCCATTCTGTTGGCCCCAGGCCAGGTCTGGTGGTTATCTCTGGGGACCATCCCCCTCAGCTGAGAAGGTGGAGGCTTTGAAATCCTTAGTCTGTCCCAGTGGTTTTCCATCTGGCTGCACGTCTGAATCACCTGGGGAGCTTGAAGAGCTGTCCATCCCAAGACCTGGCTTCAAGTCAATCAACTAGATTTGTGGGGCGGGGAAACCGCCTGCTTCCCAGGTGATTCCAACAGGTAGCCAAGGCAGGCCACCTTAGGTCTGTCCTTTCTCTCCAGACGGGATGAGCTAAGAAACAAAGGGTGGTGAAGAGGAAAGGGAGTCCACAGCTGAGCAAGGACCAGACTGCCCCGGGGCCCCAGGCCAGTCCAGGATTAGGCCAGGGAAGACCGGAAATGGGACAAGGAACAGGAAAGGAGAGAAAATGAAAAAAAAAAGCAGCTTGGTGTTGGGGGATGCTAAATTATTGCCCCTGTAATGGCCCCATAGCTGTGCAGTGGTACCTGTTCTATGAGTTCAGGTTCAGCCAGTGAAGAGTTGCTCATGCTGTGTGAGGGGGAAATGCAGGGGACACAAGGCAGTGTGACTTCATGCAGTTGGCATTCCAAGGGCTATGTCTGTGTTCTTGCACAGGTGGATGTGCACAACAGAAATAGTGCCTCCGCTTGACACGTTCTCCCCAGCACCCAGAAACCCTCTCACCTTGGGTAAAGCTTGTTACACTGGTTTAGAGTCTGTCACGTGAGGGCAGGAACCATGTGCTTTGTGTCTTAGTCACCATGGTGCTGTTGCCCACAGCCTAGCACTGTGCCTCCTTCAAAGAAAGTCTTCAACTGGTTCCATATTTAATTGAGTTCGACTGTTTGAAACAACTAGAGGAAGGTGAGTGCTCCGGGCAGCTGGAGCGTGATCATGTGCTCAGGTGCCTGGGAGAAGTAAGAGAGGTGAAATCTAGCTGGGGGAGGAAGGCTTTGTGGTGGAGGTGGGGTTTGAACTGGGACTGAAATGATGCAGAGAACTCAGACGAGTGGAGGGGAGGGAGGATGAAGACAGAGGCCCCGGCCAGGCTGTCCATCACACCCTGATGGAAGAGGAGCTGCTGCTTTCCCTGGGAGGGGCAAGGAGAGAAAAGAGGTCCTTGCAGTCCCAGGGCAGCTGAAGTTGAGGGACGGGGAGGGAGGAGCCAGCTCTGGGCAGTGGGTAGCTGCTCAACAGGTATGTGAAGAGTAGGTGAAATGACCATTTAAGTAAATTTTCTGTCTCCACTTTGAGCCTGATTCTGTAATATGAGGAATCAGCAAATTGGGAGTCTTGTGTTGGGGTGGTGTTCACAGCTATTCTGTCCAGGCACAAGAGATGTGAAGAAACCAAGACCCAGAAATGAGTGAATAACTTCAGAACTGGCAGTCCCAAAGGCCTCAGCTGGCAACCGAGAACAGCAGAGCAGTGGTTCCCAGCCCTGGCTTCAAGCTGGATCATCCAGGAAGCTTAATAACGGAGGCAAAGGATGGAGGTTATGCAAGCGTATGCCTTTGTCAGCACTCATGGAACTGTTTACTTAAATTGGTCCATTTTATTGTATATAAATTATACTTAAATAGAGTTCATTTGAAAACAAAGCGCACTGGAGCAGAAGCCTCCATGGGAACCAGCATCAGGGTGGAACAACGTAACCCGTGAGGCTCGGTGTGGACGCGTCTGAGGGCTGAAAACTTCAGGGGGGAGTCCTGATGCGTAGCGCCGTGATTATGGTCAACAATAGTGAGTTATAAACATCAAAGTTGTTGAGAGACTAGATCATAATTGCTCCCACCGCAAAAAAAGAAATGATAGTTATGTGACGTGGTAGAGGTGTTGGCTAACTCTATGGTGGTAATGCTATTGCACTACGTAAATGCGTCAGATCAACATGCTGTAGACTTTAATTATGCCAATTACATCTCAGTAAAACAAAACAAAAAACCAAAATCTTCAGGGGGCCCAGTCATGGGGGGGGTGGGATGGAGGGGAGCCTTACACTTCCGTGAGTTTTTACCTCCTGGAGCTCTACCAGGTCCTCATTCGCCTACAGTGAATACTGGGGAAAATTCCCTCATGCTTCTGGCAGGGGGAAGGGAAAGGACTCACTTTGAAATGTGCCAGAGCATTTTGTCCTTTTTTGGGGGGAGGGTGAGTAATTAGGTACATATATTTATATTATATATATATATGTATATATATATAAATAAACCTATATATATATAAAATATATATATAAAATTATATATATACAAATCTATATATATTAAAATATATAGGTTTATTTATATATATATGTGTATATATATATATGTAATTTTTTTTTAAATGGTGGTACTGGGGATTGAACCCAGGACCTCATGCATGCTAAGCTGTACCCTCTCTGTTCATCTTAACAAGGTCTGCCCTAGGAGGAGCTGTTTTACCAGAGCCTGGGGGAAGGGAGATACCCAACTCCAGCCCACTCTAGCCATGCTGTCCACCAAAGGGCAGGGAGTGAGAAGCACGGTCCCAGGGCAGCAGCTCACCAGTGGACTGAGACCTCATCGTGGGACTGGAGAACACTCCCCTCCCCCGCACCTCACCGTCCCATCCCTAGAGACCTGCTTACTGCAGTGCAGCACGTCTACCCAGCATATCCTGTCTGCCTTTCAGTAAAAGTTTACTAGACGTAAAACACGGTTGGAGAAGACTGACTATCACAACCAGAGTCAGACAATGGTGGAAATGTTGGAGTTACCAGACCAGGAAACTTTAAATCTATGATTAATAGGCTAAGAGCTTTAATGGAAAAAGTAGACAGCATGCAAAAACAGATGGATAATGTAAGGAGAGAGATGGAAATTATAAGAATTAAAAAAATGGTGGAGATTAAAACCACAGCAACAGACATGACGACTGCCTTTGGTGGGCTCGTTAGTAACCTGGACATGCCAAGGAAAGAATCTCTGAGCTTGAGGAGATGGTGATAGAAACCTCCAAAACTGAAAATTAAAAAGGAGAAAGACTGAGGAGGGGAGGAACCAGAGCAGACTACCCCAAAATTGTGGGACAACTGCAAAAGGTATAACATGTGTAAAGAGAGGAAGGAACAGAAGAGATAT